GACAGAGTGAGACTCCAACTCAAAAACAAAACAAAACAAAAAAAAAAACACCTCAAAACTTATATGCTCCAAACCAGACTCTTGTTGTCTCTCAAACTACATCATTTTTCTTTTTTTTTTTCAATTTTCAATTTTTTATTTTAAAGATGTGAGGTACAATTCAGGGTTAGGTATACAAACATTCATTATGCAGGTGCCCTTGTTGCTGAGGTCACACCATTTTTCAATGTTCCTATTTTTTTTTTTTTTTTTGAGTCAGAGTCTCACTCAGGTTAGAGTGCAGTGGCACACTTATGGCTACTGTAGCCTCAATCTGCTGGGCTTAGATGATCCTTCCACCTCAGCCTTCCAAGTAGTTGGAATCATAGGCGTGCGCCACCATGCCTGGCTAATTTTTTGGTTTATTGTACCGACAAGGTCTTGCCAAGTTGCCTAGGCTAGTCTCAAACCTCTGGGCTCAGGCAGTCTTCTTGCCTTAGCCTCCCATAGTGTGCTACCAGACCCGGCTGCTTCTTTTTTTTTTTCTTAATGAATATCACCAATTAGGTGAGAAAGCCAGAATCCAAGAAGCCCTCCTCAAAACTTCTCTCATCCTATTCCTCTTCATATCTATTCTATCTAAACCTTGCTGAAATCTGATCTTTTTGTTCTATCTCTATCACCTGCTACCAACCTGGTTCAATTAATAAGATCATCTCATATGTGGGTCTGTAATAGCTTCCTCAAAAATTCATTCCTAGCCATAGATGGTGGCACCTGTTACTCTGGAGACTGAGGGAGGGAGGATCACTTGAGCTCAGGAGTTCAAGGCTACAGTGTACTTGGCATTTGTGAATAACCACTGCATCCCAGCCTGGGCAACATAGTGAGACCCTTTCTCAAACATCAACAACAAATCCATTCCTCTCTACCCAGCCCCTCTTCCAATCTGCAAACTGCAGCCAGTTCACTTCATTCCTGTCATTACGCCCCAACTCCCTACCTAATCCTTAACCTTTCCTTTTGATGGTTTTTCTTGTCCCTAGGATAAGCTGAATTGAAACTGTTAAAGCCAGAGTTTCTTAATGTAGCAAGTAAACAGAGTGACTAATATGTCTGGTTAACTCAAGTTGTTGCCTATGAATAGCACTTCTTGATTTGTATGTCAATGGAAAAGATTGTAGGGAAAAACGTGAACGTCAGTGGAAAAAAATGAGTTGATTCCAGGAGCCCTTTCATTGTGTCTTACATTGCTTCATTATGTTTTAGTTATTTTATAGATAACTGATTGAAATGCAAAATAATTCTTGTGCGTAGATATGCAAATACATTCTGAAGGTCAGGGTCAATTAACTTCTCTGTGTCCCACTGTGAAAGAAGCTAGTTTTATTTGCATATTCATTTCAATATGTCTGACCCCAAAATGTGCTTGTTCTTTGAACCAGTTTTAATATCTGCCTGGTAGCTTCATTAAATGAGTTAGATAAACTCTATACTTTATGTCATACCTGTATGATAGTCAGGTTTTACTTTTTTATTTTTATAGTTGTCTTTTTTATTTTTTTGAGTTGGAGTCTCACTCAGTCACCCAGACTGGAGTGCAGTGGCCGCTACCGGCCACCGCAGCCTCGACCTGCTGGGCTCCAGCGATCCTTTCGCCTCAGCCTTCCGAGTAGCCAGAATTACAGGCGTGTGCTACCACGCCCGGCTAATTTTTTAATTTATTGTAGAGATGAGGCCTCGCCTGCCCAGGCGGGTCTCGAACCTGCGGGCTCAGGCACTCCACTCACCTCAGCCTCCCAAAGGCGCGGGATTACAGGCTGAGCCACAGAGCCCGGCTATAGTCATCTTTTAACTTAATAGAAGGCACTGCCTGGCTGGCCACTTGCCTACCCGGTAGTCTCACCCTGCTCCTTCTTCTCTCTAGTCCAGCCCCTCTGACTTTCTTTTGGTTCTTGGTTCCTTCCCTCCTCAGAGATGTTCTTTTGGCCTCTCTTTTCATCCTGGGTGCTCTTCACCCATTCTTCCTTCAGTAACTCAGATCTGTGCTCAAGGCTCACTTGCTGAAAAGCCTTGCCAGGTCTTCTGAATGGGTTACACTCCATCATTAGAGGCTGTTAGAGCACAGGCAGCACTTGTTACAATTTTGCATTTGTTTGTGGAATTAGTTAGCACATTTTCTGGCACAATTAACACTTTTCTTTGTGACTGGGGGCAGTGCATAACAGGATGTTGACATGCTTATATCCCCAGCTTCTAGCCCAGTGCTTTGCACATGGTAGATAACACAATTCATATCTGAAACCGATTTTTTACTGCAAGTACCTACTGCTCAGGAAAGAAGTGGACTGAAAATATATATTTGGGATTCATCAGCATATAGATGCAGCCATGAAAATGCACAAGAAGCAGTACCACTGGGTTGAAGAAAATGAAGGTTATTAGAAACCTTGTTTAGGTGGAATAGCTGGACAGAAGTCAAACAATAGTCACTTGAATGGGGAGGAAACAGAAGCAGTTAAAACAGTTGGCACTTTTGCAAAGTTTGGCTCTGAACAGCAGAAAAGGCAGAGGTGACACTGTGATTAACTCTTTAATAACCCTACAGTATTACAACAGGGATGCCAAAAAATTTATACACATTTTAAGAGATGTTATCTATGTATACTTTTAGTTCACTGTAACCAAAAGTATCTGGACGCTGATTGTAAGCACTTTGAGCCCCTCTTGTAATTGCAGAAGTCAAATGTGACTTGTATTCATCTTTTGTTCTCGGTATATATTGAGTATTACAATTTTAATATTTTTTTTCCTTTCTGTTTTTTTTTTTTTTTGAGTTGGAGTCTCACTCTGTCACTCAGACTGGAGTGCAGTGGCTGCTCCTGGCCACTGCAGCCTCGACCTGCTGGGCTCTGGCGATCCTTCCACCTCAGCCTTCCAAGTAGCTGGAACTAAAGGCGTGCGCTACCACGCCCGGCTAATTTTTTGATTTATTGTAGAGATGAGGTCTCGCCAAGTTGCTGAAATGGGTCTCGAACCCGCGGGTTTAGGCAATCCATTTACCTCAGCCTCCCAAAGCGCGGGATTACAGGCTGAGCCACCGAGCCCGGCTTGATTTTATTCTTAAGCCTTGGTCAAAGGTGGCAAACTGGCGCCCTAGGGTGTACTTAGCCTGTATTTTTAAATTTTCATTTTAAAATTAAATTAAAACTTAAAATAAGAGACTCTAGGTTTCCAGGACACTTGTCATTCTTATGTGAACGTGACCTGTCTGGGCTCTGTGGTCTTTGGCTTGGGACCCCACCCCAATATAAGAGGCTTTTCTGTGCCTTGTATAAGGGAGAAGTGAAAGTTGTTTTCTAAATTGATAAGATTAGAGCTAGGGTATATTGTCTGTAGTGCTGTATGAAATCATTTTAAAACCCAGGCCGGATTTAACTGTTTTTACCCCGAATAAACTGCCCTGCCTTTCCAAGATCAAGTCAGCTCCAGGCACCATTTCCTATTAAACCAGGAAGGCTCATAATTTAGGCTGATGTTGCCCCAGGAGAATACAGCAGGGCAGACAATAGCTATTCCAATGTTCTTTTTTCTCTTTCTAAACCAAGCAGTATTTCCAACGTCACTCTCCCAGTTCTTCTAAATATTACTACCACGAGCCTACATCAGAAAACTGTGGAAACAGCACGATTGGGAGCCCTATTCTGCCTGAAAACGGAGAATCGCATCGAGATCTTTAGGCAGAAAAAGCTATTGGGGGATGAGAACCTGCTAGTCCCCAAACACCCAGAATCACAAATCCGATTTGGGTAGGTGGCGCAAGGAAATCTAAAAACCGGATTCACGTTCTCCCCCTTGAGTTTGCACACGGGGTCAGCAGCAGACGAGATCTAGGTCCAGGCCTGCAGAATCTAAAGGCAGTTGGATCCGCAGTCGATGCAAAAGCTGCCCTCCTGCAATTTCCCCGAGGTTTCTCGCGCCTTCCCGCGGGGCGTTTCCGGGCACCCAGAGGCTGTTTAGTGATTAAGGATGCTCGCGAAGTGCCAGCGCTTGGAAAGGCGCTCGCTCGCGGCGCGCCCTCTCGGGCCACCGCACGAGACCCGGCGGTTGGGACAACGGCTTTGGTTTTCGTGACCGCGGACAGACAGGGATTGGACGGTCGGAGGCTCTTCCTCCAGGGATGCTGGAGGGGCTGGGTCGTTCCCTGCGCCTGGCCCTGGCGCGCCGCCCCAGCTCGTGGCACCCAGCGCCGCGCGGAGCTTGTGCCCGGGCTT